TATGAGGAAGAGCCTGTGGTGTTAAAGGAAGAGGTTTAAGCTGCTCTGAAAGAATTGGTTAAAACAAGGCCCCAGGAATTGATGATATATCAATTGACATATTTCAACAAACAAACACTGCCCTGGATGTGCTCACCAAGTTGTGCCAAGAAATCTGAAGGACAACCACCTGGCCAACTGACTGGAAGACATCTATATTTGTTCCCATTCCAAAGAAAGGTGACCTGACAGAGTGCAGAAATTATCGAACAGTATAATTGGTATCACAAGCAAGCAAGATTCTGCTGAAGAGAACTGCTTGAAGTGCAGGCTGGATTTAGAAGAGGCCATGGGACTAGGAATATTATAGCTAATGTCTGATGGATCTTGGCTGAAAGCAGAGAGTACCAGAAGAATGTCTTTCTGCATTTCTTTGACTATGCAAAAACATTTGACTGTGTGGATCACAACAAACTGGCTTACTGTGAGAAGAATGGGAATTCCAGAACACATGATTGTGCTTATGCAAAACCTATATTTAGACCAGGAAGCAGCCATCAGAACAGAGCAAGGAAATACTGCATGGTTCAAAATTGGGAAGGGTATATGCCAAGGAGGTGTTCTATCTCCATATCTTTTCAATCTATATGTGTTACAGATTATCTGGGAAGCTGGGCTCTATGAGGAGAATTGTTGTATCAGGATTGGAGGTAGACTCAGCAACATTCTGCGTTGTGCAGATGACACAACCCTGCTTGCTGAAACTGAGGAGGACCTGAAGCGTTTGCTGCAGAGGGTTAAGGACTGCAGCCTTCAATATGGATTGAAGCTCAACATCAAGAAAATAAAGATTCTCACCACTGGGCCAATTGGCAGCATTATGATAGATGGTGAAGATATTGAGATTGTTAACAGCTTCAGTTTGCTTGGCTTTACAATCAACATTCTTGGTACCAGCAGCCAGGAAATTAAAAGACGAATTGCATTGGGAAAGTCTGCTGTCAGATATTTCTCCAAAGTACTGAAGAGCAGTGGTGTCAGTCTGGAGACTGGTTGACATTGAGAAGAATGGGAACTCCAGAACACTTAATTGTGCTTGTACAAACCTATACCAAGACAAAGAAGTTGTTATGTGAACAAAGTGAGCAGGGAAATACTGCATGGTTTAAAATTAATAAAGATCTGCATCAGGGTTGTATCCTTTCTCCATACCAATTCAATCTATATATAATGAGCAAATTATTGAAGAAGCTGGATTATTAAGAAGAAAGAAGGTGGCGCTAGGATTACAGGAAGACTCATCAGTAAATCAGTAACCTTCATTGTGGAAAGACACAACCTTGCTTGCTAAAAGTGAGGAAGACTTTAAATACTTGCTGCAGAACACTGCAGCTTTCAATATGGATTGCATTTCAACACAAAAAAACAAAAGTCCTCAACACTAACACAGGACTGATAAGACATCATCATAGCTGGAGACAAAGCTCATACTGTCAATGACTTTTTACCTTACTTGGATCCACAATCAGTACATGTGGTACCATCAGGAGATCAGGAGACATATTGCACTGAATAAGTCTATAGTTAGGAACCTCTCCAAATTAGTGAGGAGCTATGTTGTTAGTCTTAGGACTAAGGTGCACTTGATTCAGACTTTGGTCTTTTCAATCACTTGTTATTCATCTGTAAGCTGGATAATGACTAAGAATGACAGAAGTAGAGTATATGACTTTGAGCTGCGGTATTGGGGAAGAGTGCTAAATATCTCATGGTTGTTTTTGTTGTTGATTGCTGTCAATGAGCACAACTCATAGCAATCCTATGAACAAAAAGCTGAAGCCTTTCTAGGACTGACAGAAAAACCAAATAGATATGTCTTAGAGAAGGTGCAGCCAGCGTGTTGCTGGAGGCAAAGATGATGAAGTTTTGTCTCTCACATTTTGGGCATGTTGCTAGGAGAAGCTATTTCTTGGATAGGGACATCATTCTTGGGAAGGTGGAGGGACACCAAAGGAGAGAAAGTCCCTCAACCAGGTGTGTTGACACAGTCATTGCAACAATGGTCTTGAATGTGTTAGAGATTGTGAGGATGGTCCAGGATAGAACAAGGTTCAGATCTGCTTTTCATAGAGTCATTATGAGTCATACTCAACAGCACCTAACAACAACAACAACAGAACTCCATTTTCTTGAAGAAATAACTCCCTGTTCCTACTTTTCTCTAGCCCCTAGGACCCATGAATAATCATTGTTTTCCTTTTTATTCCAAGATGATTCCATGTGTAAACTTTTCCTTAGCTTTGTATAATAGTGGTCTTATACCATAATAGTCCTTTTGTAACTGATGTATGTCACTCAGCATAATTTGTTGTAGAGTTACCTATACTGTACAATATTTGTTGAATTCTTAAGCATTTTTTTAATGATGCTTAATATTCTGCTGTGTGGATGTACTGTAGTTTCTTTATCATTTGTCCATTGATGGACAATTCAATCGTATACAACACTTTGCAATTGTAAGTAATGCTACAGTAAATATTGTAGTATTTTGCTTTGTCTTCCCATGCTGCCTTTTGGAATCTTCTATTCAGC